GATAACCACCCCCAGGGCTCCGGGAGGGAATCCTGCCCCTGCACCCACCTCCGCTGCTGGAGGCGGTGGCTGCATCTAAAGAGTGGCATTTTTTTGGGGGGGGACAGCCCAGAGCAGAGCCCCCCCACCTCCTCACCCCCCCACCACGTGTCTACACGCGTGTTGGGACACGAGCATGCCCTTACCTCGCTGGCAACGGGAGCTGGAGAGGAAAATCACAGGAACAGCTAAATATCTGTGGCGAGAAGAACACCCTGCTTGCCCACCGTCCTTTGGCTACGCTCCCGACCCCCCCAAATCAACCCCCCCAAGTTTTTCCATCCAGGAGCATCCCCTTCAAACCCCAACCTACCGGTCACGTATGGTCCCAGAGGCATCTGGCTGTAGTTGACAATCCCACCCGGGCCAGGACCTCGGAAATTTGGCCCGAAGTTGTTGTTGTAGAGCTGGGAGGAGCCGAAGGAGCCCTGGGTGGGGGGATAAGGAAGGAGAAAAGCTGCTGAGCTGCAGCCCCGGCCCCACCATCACCAGAAGGTGAGGGGGCTCCATCCCTGCTGACCTGCTGGACGGTGGGGTCCCCCCCACGGGTGGCCAGGCGGCTGAGGATGCTCCTCTCGGACATCTGCAGGCGGGCGGCCACGGGTGGGATGCGGGAGAGCATGGAGGGCAGGCGGGTCACGTCGGCCTTCATGTCACTCAGCAGCTCCTCGAGCTGGTTCAGCACTGAGGGGAGAACCAGGAGATGCTCAGAATGTTCGGGGGACACCCACCAGACCCCCAATGTCCCAACCCCAGGGACTGGCAAGCTCCAGGAGCCGACGGACCCTGCCACCACCCGGGTGCCCTCGCAGCAAACCCAACTGGGGAGGAGCAGGTGGCTCCTGGCCAAGGGAAAGTGGGATGGGGACAACCTCCCGGCTGGATTTCACTGAATTTCATTGAATTTTAGAGTTGGAAGGGACCATAGAGATCATCTAGTCCAACCCCCCTGCTGAAGCAGGATTGCCCAGAGCTTGTCAGAGCATGTTACTCAGGAGCATCCAGGCAGGTCTTGAAGATCTCCAGAGAAGGGGACTCCACACCCTCCCTGGGCAGCCTGTTCCAGGGCTCTGTCACCCTCACCCTGAAGAAGTTTCTCCTCATATTTGAGTGGAACCTCTTATGTTCCAACTTGTGCCCGTTGCCCCTCATCCTCTCACTGGGAACCACTGAAAAGAGTCTGGCTCCCTCCTCCTTCAACCCACCCTTGAGATACTTGTAGGCATTGATAAGGTCTCCCCTCAGCCTTCTCTTCTCCAGA